GATTCACCAGGGCAGGACAGACGGAGGTGTGTGTGTGTGTGTGTGTCTGTGTGTGTGTGTGTGTGTGTGTGTGTGTGTGTGTGTGTGTGCTGAAACTGGCAGCAGGACGCAGGCACGACTGCCTCGCCAGCGTGTGTTCTCTGTCGGCCATATGTATGTCAGCTGCAGCAGCCTCGGCTCAGAACGCCACGTAAGACCGTAAAAATAAATCAGAGAAACAAGGCGAGTTGGCGAGGTGGTGAGGAGGCGAGTTGGCAAGGAGGCGAGGTGGTGAGGAGGCGAGAGAGAGTCGGACGCCAGATATCAGGTTTTCTTCTGGACAGAAGAAAGAAAGTTTTTTTTCTCAGTGTGAAAACGACCAATCAGCTTCAGTCCCGAGTCACATGACTCACACAGGCACGCAGAGCAGCCTATAGTCTCGGATCACGGAGGAAGGACTGTTGCCTCCATCGCTAACGCCAGCGACTCCTTCAGAAGATGGAGGTGAACTACGAAGGATTTCCTTACCACTGTTGCCTAGCAACAGAGCAGCAGTTTCAAAGCGCCTCTGTGTTTTAACATGTTAGCATCTGACGTTTGCTCTCGTCTCGCTGCCGCCATTTAACTCTTCATCACAGTTCATCGATGAAGCACAATGAATCCTGGGATACGTCGGCCTGAGAAGGATCCGCCTGCCTCAGACACAAAGTCTGCGGACTCCGTGGAGTCGGCTCGAACATAGTTCAGTTAACGTTGGATTTGAAGTAACAGTTAAAAACGTAACGTCCTCACAGACCTCCACGATGTTTACTGACACACTGACGAACAGGACGAATCCACTTTTGAGTAATAATGATAATAATAATGATATTAATATTAAGATGATGAATTTCAATGACTTTTATTAATTGTTTGTTTATTATTGGAGCTGTTTACCTCGTTAACAAGGAATATATTTTTGTTTGTTGAGACACTTTACGTTAGCGCGTTAGCTTAGCATTTAGAAATAACTAGAATCAACTCATGGCTTGTTGCTGTGAATCAAAACCTGTTGTTGTCGCTGTTTATGTTGTTTTGTGTGTTTATTGTGTTTGTACTGTGTTTGTGTGTGTTTTCAGTGTGTGTGTGTAGATTCATTAGAATTGTTTTAAACTCCCTGATGTGTTGATCATCTTAGTCAGTGTGAAACTATATTTATATATGTGTATGTGTGTGTGTGTGTATGTGTGTGTGTGTGTGTGTGTGAGTGTGTATCACCGTAACCTCTATGCTCAATTACACCCAGATTACCCAGAGGCCCTCGGGGCTGTGGCAGCCGGTGAGAGCTCACTGATATAAATCTGGTGTGTTGTTGATACACCAGCTCTGTTATTCTCATAAAACATTACTACACACACACACACGCACGCACACACAGACACACACGCATGCACGCACACACGCACGCTCTGCAGGGAGCTAGTGCTGCAGAAAGCTAATATGCTAACACTGCAGAGTAACTTAGAGGAAGAGGAATGAGAGGAGGTGACATTTTGAAAAGGTGAATGGGATGATGTTGACATTTAGAGAAAAACGAGATAAAGTGAAATCCAGATTCCGTTCAGGAAAGAGAGTGTGTGTGTGTGTGTGTGAGAGTGTGTGTGTTCACACACTAACCAGGTCTGATGGAAGAAAATCTAAATTTACAGGACAGAATAAAAAACGTGAGGAAATGATCCGGAACATGAAGAACATTTTTTATATGAGGACGAAAAAGCTGAACTTTTAAAAAGATTTGAAAAAACCTCTACAAAGCTGTTTCGATGATATTTGCTCCGACCTCAGGAGCTAAATCTTCACCTGAAACAAACCTTGTGAAGGCGTGATGCACCTCCATCAGGTGCCAGCTGACCACGCTAACGGTATGGAGACGGGCCGACCACTTAAAGCTGCGGTCGAATGATAGAAGCTGGATTGGAATGCAGCTGCGTCTGATTGGTTGTGGCAACAGAAAACAATCATACATTATTCAGCTGGAAACCAACGCTCCGACCTGCACCACCGGAAAATGACAACTCACTCTCACTCTCTCTCTCTCTCTCTCTCTCACAGGTGCGAATGCTTTCTCTGCCTCCTCTTCCTCCCTCCTGCCTCCTCTTCCTCCCTCCTGTCATCTCTCTCCTCCCTCTGAATCATCGCTCTCCTTCCTCCTTCATCATTTTTGGGAGTGAGGCTGACTCTCTCTCCCTCTGTCCCTGTTAAATCATTCACTGAGTTGTGGTGGGCGGCTGCCGCTCTGTCTCCTGCTGAGCATGCAGGGGGGGGTGGGGTGGGGTGGGGGGTGAAGTGATGACATGATGACAGGTGGAGGAAAAGAGGATTGAACAGGAGGAGAGAGAGTCGTTCACGTTAATCATCAGATTCACTTCCACTTCGTTTGTGGATCTTCTCCTGCAGCCTCCTGGTAAAACGTCAGAGTGAGTCCATGAGAGGAAACAGCAGGAAAACGTGTGGAACCTTCTCAGCGAGCGAGCGAGCGAGCGAGCGGACGAGTTGATGAGGTTTCTAACACGTGACGGACGTGAAACTGGAAGAATCCACAGAATACTAATTATACTAAACTGCTTCAATCAATAATTCATAGATACATCTTGATAATCAGTCTGGTTTATCTCACTCTGTCTCTGTGACAGAGAGAGGCACACCCATCCTCTCTCTCTCTCTCTCGTTGTGAATGGGGGGGGTGTCTGTCATTCTGACTGACAGCTCTGTCAGCTTATCAAATTAGTCCCGGCACAGTTGCAGCTGACGGCGCTGCCGACCAATAAATGCAGATTTGTGGAGAATCATGGCGAAGCATCAGCTTTGATTTGCTGCTACATGAGATGTTTATGGAGCAGAAGTGAAGAGACTATTAGGAGGAGCGGAGGGAGGGAGGGGAGGGAGGGGAGGGAGGGGAGAGACAACAAAGTGCCTCCCTCTCGCTCTCCCCCTCATTGGATCAACTTGAGAAGTAGTGTGGAGGAGCAGATATATTGGAGAAGCTGCAGTTTCCGGCAGCTTCAGTGAGTTTTGGATCAATTTACAGAACGTGATGCACATTATGGTTTGTTTGCAGACGCCACTGATGGAGTCAGAGTGAAGACGAACCAGACTCTTCATCCACCTCCACAAATAGTCAGTAGATTGTATCATGAGAGCTTCATCGGTCAGTGTCACGTAACAGAATAAAAGAAGTTTGGGTGAAACATTATTTTTCATCCTGTGATCTTTTGTTTCGTTGTTTAACTATCCAACATAAAGTTTTGTACTTTTATCGTCTCTGCTCTAAAGTCTCTGTTTTCATGATAATTAATACAACAACAAAAGTTTGTGTCATAAAAAACTGTTCCAGTAGAAATGTTGTTCCAGTGTCTACTGATGGAGTCTTTATCGTTATTCTTACTTTCTGTGATGTCACTTCCTGCATACAAAGGCTGTGACATCATGATTGACAGCTGAGACTGACTCAGGATTGGTCGGGTTTGTAAATGGGGGCGGGACCATGACACGCCGGCTCCACTCCACGATCACTACTGATGACGTCAAGACGTTTGTATCCGAGATATTCTGGCTTCGAGTTTGTAGAGGAGGCGGAGACACGTCGTCCATCTTTGTTTACTGATCATCACTGATGATAACAATCATAGAAGATCACCAGACTTATAGAATATGCTCTTATTTTGAAACAGTGAGATATGGCAGGTGTAGAGGGACAGTGTGTGTGTGTGTGTGTGTGTGTGTGTGTGAGAGAGAGAGACACAAAGAGAGAGCAAAGGAAAAGGTGCAATGCAGGTATTTTATGCGCCACTAATTCAGGAAGTGATAAGTGTCGTTAACTCAGTCCAGAAGTTTCTGTCTTAGTCATATCATTGTCTGTGTGTGTGTGTGTGTGAGAGTGTGTGTGTGTGTGAGAGTGTGTGTGTGTGTGTGTGTGTGTGTGTGTGTTGGGGTTACATCAGCAGAGTAAATGACACCTTGTGGGAGACAGAGGGGGGAGAGAGAAAGGGGGAGACATTTTCCGAAGGTAAAAAAGGTGCATTGCAGATATTTTGTGCAGCTCTAATTTGAGTGGTTGCCAAAAGTATGTGGACACCTGAACTTTACAGCCGTGTGCGATGTGTCTCATGAGACTGAATTAGAGCTAAAGAGCTAAACCATCATGAGGAAGAAATCTGGATCACAGTCTTCAGGTTTGTGTAGTAACGTCAGGTTTATAAAATGTTTACGAGCGTCAGAGCTCAGCATCGCGCTTGTGTCCGTCTGTCTGACTGCGAGCGACAATGTGTTCAAATGAGAGTATGACACGGTTCCATCAACATGTTCTGTTACTGCTCAAAGACACAAAGTCCAGCTGGAGAACGTTTGAGTTCATTCACTCCTTCACCAGTTCGACTCCCAGTGACTCTCAACCACCAGCGAGACCTCAGTGGAAGCTAATGGATTGTTGGACGTGTGTGGAAAAAGGTCGCTATTATAAAGACATTAAAATGTTGAAAGATGAATAGTGTCAGACATTTTTACGCACTGCAGGACAC